CCCACATGTCATCCTCATTCCCATTTTCTCCTCTCCTTTCTTTCTTCTTGTTTTCTCTTCTCCTCGCCATTCGGCGCCGGGCAGAGCAGGCGAGTTCACCGGCCCCGCCTCCTCCCTCTCCATCGCTCACCACCAGCCTCCCCGCTTCTCTCTCTTCGTCGCCTACCGCCTCCTCCTACATGTTCCTCGCCAAGCAGTACACCACGACACTCCTGTATCGGTGGTCGCGACAGAGAGAGCTCGCGCCACAGGAGTAAGTGGTGTGGAGCAGGGTGTCGGTAGCGGGCACACCACGTCGCCGGTCAAGGCTTCCTCCGCCCGTGACCTTTTCCACCACATGCACCACCATCACCCCCACCTTGTCGGCGATGATGATGACGAACTTCCTCTATCCTCCCCTTTCCCTCCTCCGCTTCCCCTTGGGCTCCTCCTGCTACTATACCTAGGCTCTTGCTCCACAGGCTTACCGTGCGTCGCCTCCCACGAACATGCCGCGTCGACGACGGCATGCACCTGCCGCCGCAACCCTTTCCTCTCCCGCAGCGTGAGCTCTCTCCGCCGCAACCACCGGCACCACTCACGCATTGGAAAGAGATGAGGGAAGAGAGGGGAAAGGGGAAGAAAAAGTTGTGTTTCACTAACATGTGGGTCCCACATTGACTCAGCTGCCACATCGGATAAAATTGCAGTCAACCAGAGTCAATACTGCCTAAGGATATAAAGTGATCCGGTTTTATAAGTTGAGAGATGTCATATGTCTGATTTTCCGGTTTAGGGCGATTTTATAACTCAGCAACAAGATAAGGGACCTTATGTGTACTTTTTCCTTTCGAAAGTGTGCTCCGTGGAGGTGGTAGGCCCGTTTTATACCTAACCCTTCCTTTCTCGCTTTTCCTTTCCTTCTAGCTGTGGTGAGGTCCAGTTCGCAAATATCTGGCCCATTATTGGTCAATGGTATCTTTCGCCACATAGAGTATCGGTCAATGGGCCACACGAGTACTTCTTTTCCTCTTTGGAACGGGCCACAGTGCCACACCGGGGGACGTCGTCCTCAACGCAGCCATGACGCCCAGCCGCGTCAGCGTAGGGCTCGTCCCGCCACCTCCACCGACTGGTGGGCCCGCGACGACAGCGCCGTTTATAGGCCAGGGAGGCGGAAGAGGACGCGGTTCGTGCGTGCGCCACCGTCGGCCGTGCGCGAGCCAAGCCAACCACCACGAGAAAGAAACTAACATCGGAGGAGCGACTAGCGAGCCGTCCTTCCCCAACCCCTCGTCGTCGTCGTCCAGCCTGAGAACCAAACGAAGAAAAAGGAGGGGGAAAAAAGGGGAAAACGGGGAGAGGCTACCGACGCGGCAGGCCCGGCCGTCCTCCCCTCTCCCGGTCAGCGCGCCGCGGCTTTTTGCGTCCGGAGAGGCGGAGACGGGGCGCCATGGAGGCGCTGTGGAAGCAGGCCTCCAGGCTCAAGGAGCAGGTCTCCCGCCAGGTGACGCTCTCCCATCCCCCTCGATCTCTTTGAACTCCTGTGTTAGTACGGTTCTCGATCGATCCGAGTTTGTGATTGCGCAACCGGGGTGGGTCGATGTCGATCCCTCTCAGGTGTCTGTCTTGTTCGATCCGGTCTCTATATAAGTTTGATTTGATGTCTATGCTGATGGGTTTTGAGAGGCTACCGTACTCGTCTATGGTTAGGCGTCTCAGGTTGATTTTCATTCATGCTGGCGAGTGGTGAAATGAATTGTGAGGGGGAGGTCCAAGCTTTTGCTCTCGAAAAAAACAATTGTGAGGGTTGGGACCGCGATGCGCGTGTTTGCAATCCCTGAGATGAGAAACATCAGGTTATGATTTTACGACAGGGTTGATCAATCTGGTTAAGCTATTAGCAACCTGTGGCTTTTCTATTTAAAAGCGTTGCTCGTGATTCCTGTTCGAAATATAGAACCATGTAAACATGACCTACCCGAATTTGCTGTTTTGAGTAATACCGCCTTGATTATTTTCATCCATCTTGCACAAACATAGGAGGGTTGGCCGAAAGGAGTTACACTGCCTTAGGAAGACAGCTAAGATTAGCAGTCTACACAACAAAGTAGGGAACAATATCTGGTATCTATTCAGGTGTTCTGGTTTCGTACTGTAGGCCTATACTACTATTTCCTTGCTATGAGTTTTGCCTGGAATATATAGTCTTTGAAAACGGATGTTCCAATGTTAGGAGTTGTTATTACTAATGTCTGCGATTTGCAAAGTAACTGGAAACTCTAGGGCTGTTAAATGCCAGCTACATATCTGCCTTCACATGGAATATATACTGCATTATCTTTATATGTTGTGGGATATTTTCTTGGTATTTAACTGCATCGAAAAGTCAGCTCTTTTTAATCTTGGTATGAACCATGTAACATTGTACCTGTCTACACCATTGCAGGGCGTGTTTAAGCCATTTGGAGCTGCCTATGGAAATTCAGAAAATGCGTTTACAGATGAATCAGAAGTTAATCTACACCAGAGGCTGGAAAAACTTTACTTATCAACTCGTGCTGCTAAAGTATGAGCAAGACAAATTTATTAGAGAAACAGTATCTCTTTCCTTTCTACCTAGATTATTTTGATAAACATTGGCATCTTTTGGCCAGCATTTTCAAAGGGACATTGTCCGGGGTGTGGAGGGATACATAGTCACTGGATCTAAACAAGTTGACATAGGTATGTTTCTCCAACTATATATTAGCTTATCAGAATAATTTTAGCTTGACACAATATTAATTACTCAGTGTTTACATTACTGTATGTTGATTAGTTGCAACCTAAATTTATAGGAAATAAATTGTCCGACGATAGCCAGAAATATGGCACTGGAAACACATGTACAAGTGATAACACTTTATCCAAGGCTGCTATGTACTATGGGAAGGCTCGTTCTCTGATGGAAAAGGAACGTGGGAACATGTTGAGAGCATTTGGTACACAGGTCTGTTCATGACTTCATGTTGATCGACATTTTTTACCTTATGACATGTATGATTAGCATACTAGTAGTTTACCTGTGCAACTAGTTGTTACTATGTGCAGAACAATGAGGTCCATTCTTATGGTATTGATAAATGTGAATAGAACGCATAACTTCAGTAAGAGATTGTTGGATTGTAGGTGGCAGAGCCACTGCGAGCAATGGTCATGGGTGCGCCTTTAGAAGATGCGAGACATCTAGCCCAAAGATATGACCGAATGAGGCAAGAAGCTGAAGCCCAGGTGAAGTAGTGTATAACTTTTACTTAAGTCTCTTCAAGGTTATATAACATCCCAGGATATTGCTCTCAGATGTACTTACAGCATATTTGAAACAATATCCATTGACGAGCAACCTAAGCTATACAATTAAAAAAATAGTTTGTGTATTTTATGATTCTACTTCCACACATTCCTAATTCCTTGTACCGCAAGGCTTACAGATGCATAGTGGAGAAACTGTTATTGGGAAAGGAAAAATGCTATGAATTCTCTGAGAACCAGGACTATCCCAAAATTTCTCAACATCACAATATTTTGGAAAGCATCACACTATATTATGTGTACGGCCAGATCTTGTCGACCTTATTTATCTATAGAATCTCCATAACTTGAAACTCTAAAATATGGTCACTTGCAAGTTGCAAAGCAATAATACCAGTGACATTGCCAAGTTGCCTTCAGTTGCACGCAGACTTTGTTATCTAAGATCCTACTATCTTCTCAGATCATGTGATTAGTTGAGTCATTCCAAAACATAAGTAATTTGTGTTCCTTTTCTGTGCATTGACCTTTTGGTTTAAACTGAACTGTTTAGCTTATTTTTTTCTGTTCGCTTTCCTAGGCTGTTGAAGTTTCAAGACGGCAAAACAGAGTAAGAGAGTCAGCTCCGAATGGAGATGTGATAACAAAGCTGGAAGCTGCTGAATACAAACTTGAAGAACTTAAGTCAAGCATGGTAGGATTAGGGAAGGAAGCTGTTGCAGCAATGGCTGCCGTTGAGGCTCAGCAACAAAGATTGACATTACAGCGCCTTATTGCGATGGTAACCATGAGCTATACCCGTTAACGTTACATTTTCTGGTGCATCATGCTATTGCATTTATCTGAAAATTATATATAGCTGCTAATCAGTCTTGCTCTGAAGGTTGAAGCCGAAAGAGCCTACCATCAGAGAGTTCTGGAGATCCTTGACCACCTGGAACAAGAAGTATGTATACTCCAGCACTATTTACATTTTTTTTAAAACATGGCCTGTTGACACAGCCCACACACTGTCAAGTGTGCAGAAGTCCTATCTTCATCAAGTTAATGATTATTTTTTGATTGGTTTAGATGGTATCAGAGCGTCAAAAGATTGAAGCACCTCCGACCCCATCAGCAGAAAATTACATGGCACAGCCACCACCATCTTATGACGAAGTCAATGGCATGTTTGCATCCTCCTCTGTCGATGATTCAGTGACATCTGTAGATTTCTTCCTAGGAGAGGTCTGGCATTCTTTTCATGCAAAATCTATTGCACCATCTGCCAAATGAACATGAATTTACCGATGTTATGCTTCTTACATAAATTGTTTGGTCGTTATGATGCAGGCCCTTGATTCCTTCAAGGCTGAAAGTGAGTCTGAGCTTAACTTGTCAGCTGGAGACATTGTTATTGTCCGGAAGGTAATATACCTCTGCTGTCCATGTTTTGTAATCTTCAATTGAGTTGCCGATATTGTTCCGATGTTTCTAAATACAAGTTCCTGGCAGCTAACATATCATAATTGAGCTGTCAGTAATCTAATGTGGTCTTGTCCGAACACAGATATCAACCAATGGTTGGGCAGAAGGCGAATGCAAGGGAAAAGCAGGATGGTTCCCACATGGTTATATCGAAAGACGAGAGCGAGTTCTAGCTAGCAAGGTTCCACATATTTTCTAGGAGTTCGAGGATAAATGTGTGTAGTTTTGATTTCAAATGTTGAAACAGTATATTCGTCTTCTTTGCCCCCACTTATAGCTTCCACGTGATGCTTTCTGATTCATGTGTATAGACTACACTTCGTGTTATTTACAAGTTTTGAATGGTATAGTTTGTAAGACATTTCGGTAGACTGAATTGGCACTAGAGGGCCTTACATAGTTGAACCCTGGTTTCCAAAGGGAGTAAAGTATTTACTGAGGCAGTTCGTAACCTTCTTTTTTATCCCTGTGTATACACAATGGCCAATCCAAAAGAGAATGCTACTGGAGGTGAAACGGTCAACCTGAAGCTACCAAACCATCGGATTCTGGAAGAAAATTAAACAGACTAACCTAACCTTTCATGCTCGTAACTTGTGGGCTGTGGCTGTTCCGTGTTCCAGATGCTGATGGGAACAAGATGGCGTGGAAATCAAAGCTTTGTCAAGGCAGATCAACGATGCCCTGAACAGACCGATTCTGTATGGCTTCACGCATGCCTCCACCAGAATCCGGCCCGTTTCCTGTAAGCAAGCAGACGAAACTGCTGGCGAGAAGGTGTTCCAACTTCTAACTAAGGGCGGTAATCCTTTCCTGAATGCTTAGATTTACCAATTACCATTGACTGGACCACCCCGTTCAAGAAGAGCAGACGGAATCGGTGTAAAAGTGAAAGTGAAAACGCCAAAGGTGCAAAACGAAGTACTAGTATCGACATGTTGCAGAGTTAGCAGTGCATTAGATTATCAGTTTAGCACCCACCACTTCTTGCAGGTTTAATCAGTGTCGGATGGTCCACTTGGGACAGTGGCCAGTCGGCAGAGCCTTATCGAAATGGTTGTGTGCTTTGGGCCTCACAAACTGACCGAATTAATGAAAGCAATGCGACAACAGCAAAAAACACCATGATCACTGATCGAGGGGGTGTTGCGAGAATCGAACTCGCGACCTCTCGCACCCGAAGCGAGAATCATACCACTAGACCAAACACCCAGTTTGATTACTTCTTTATCTTGTATTTTCAAATCCTAATACAATGTAGCATGAGTCTGCAGTGCTCGCAGGCCGCAGCTTGGTGTATTCAGAGCCCGGGAATATTTTGAGCTCCAATATATACAGAGTACAGACGAAGCAGAAGACGGTACAAACTACTACAAAACAGTGAACAGCGACGTCTTTATGCATATCATGCGTCTTCTCCGGAACACGCATGCATACCTCCCCGAACGGAAAATGAAATTGATGACACGAGTAAAACCTAAAAAGAGTTGCATCACCCACAGCAACCACTCCGTGCCGATGTGTCATGCAGCACATACGCCTCGCCTCATGGAGTGACTTCATCGCTGATTTGCTGGTGACCTACCGATCCAATCGATCGCTTATCTCCTCCAGTGGGTAAACGGAAATCAGTTATATACTGCACGGTGTGATCTGCGATTGACCCCTTCTCTTCGTCAAGTGGCCGAGGCAGCGAGAGCGCGCGAGGTGGAGGGACGACGAGTCGACGAGGGAGATAGCCGCCTTCGCCGTCGGTGTCACTCCTGTCACCTCTCCGACCCGACCCACTTACAGATACTCCCTCCGTTTCACAATGTAAGTCATTTTATCATTTTTCACATTTATATTGATGCGAATGAATCTAGACCCACTTACAGATACTCCTTCCGTTTCACAATGTAAGTCATTTTAGCATTTTCCACGTTCATATTGATGCGAATGAATCTAGACACATCAATATGAATGTGGAAAATACTAAAATGACTTACATTGTGAAAGGGGGGAAGTAGCAACGTTGGTAAACTGCCACTTGATATTCTGAAATTCTGAAACATCCTCAAGCTGGATAACTGTCCTCTCGAATTCGCCCATATCAGTAATCAGCCAGACACCTGACGGAGAGAAAGTTGAGAAACACACATGCCAGGATAGAATTAGCAAGTTCTTCGTCAGATTTTGATCAAAATGATTGTATTCCAAGGGAAAGATTGCTCACACTGTAAAGCCAGTCTCCCCCGGCCCTCCCTATATACCTCCCTAGATACTCCTGGCCACTGTGTGGTGACAGTGCGTGCGTAAATTAAAGTGGTCAAAAGTAACAGGCACAGCAGATAGTACAGGCAGCAAGACACCACAGGCAAAAAAAGAGAGAGCGAGAGGAAGCAATCCGTACCCATCTTTCCGCCATGATCCATCATGCAAACCCAGCAAAAAAAAATTGGAAAGAAAGAAACGGGAGGCTACGGCTAGCACGCCGCTCCAAAAATACCTGGCCGCGAGCGAGTGAGGAACTGCGTGTTTCGCCGTTCGAGTGCATGCTAACCCGCTAATCATTACGGCCCTCGTAAGCAAGTGCCTCGCTTTCGCGTAGCACCTATCATTCCATCGCGCCCACATGGACAGGAGGAACTCATTTGGGAATAGAGGGAGAGGGATGCGTCCTGCAATAACCAATTCCCTGTTAGTTTCTGTTGCTCTGTCCCTTGGCCAGAATTTGCCATGCTACTGCTGGGTTTAGCACCCAAACGGCCAGACGGAATGAATTGCAAACGAGGAATAAATGGAAAGGAAGGGCTGGAGGCCATACAGCAGCCAGCCAGCCATATACTGTACTTCATGGCTGTGTTTAGATCCAAAGTTTGGATCCAAACTTCAGTCATTTTCCATCACATCAATATGTCATACACATGTAACTTTTCAGTCACATCATCTCTAATTTCAACCAAAATCTAAACTTTGCGCTGAACTAAACACAGCCATCGTTGAGTTTTGATGGATGGATGGAAGCTGAAACGAGCATAGGAATCATCACACATGATGTTGTTCTCCAATAGCTCAAACCTTTCCACTTATGAATTATCAACTGTATAGAACTGGAGAATGAGCTGCTACATGTATCTGGTAGTTGTTGTTTGGCTGATTGATCAGTACTACTAGTAGGTAGGAACATGAACATCTGGGTATACTGTATACATATATAATGCTGCTGCTTACTCATTTTTGAAGTTGATATTATTATCTGAGCCTCCATGTGACCACCACGTAGTAGGCATGACGGAGCAGACAATTATAGAGGTTTGCAAGCTAAGCTCAATTCAATTCAACCGCAACGCTCAGTACACTGCAGGCTAGAGCTTCCATTGACTTTCGGTGCTCCTTTTCCTTTCCATTTCCCTGATTACCAAATAAAGACTTGGTTTTGGACGGTTGAGATGGAAAGCAGGTTGAACGGCTGCTTGGTGAATCCTCTGCAACAAGGCGATTAATTGCTTCCAGCAATCCAGCGTTGTCATGTATACTAACAACGTTTGGACGACCAAATAATATAGCCAGTCCGAAAGTCACTGCTAGATAAAGAGATTATCGTCCCTCTCTTTTCTTCGGCAAGCTGTTAAGATAATGATCTTACCATGTATCCTACTTTTCATACTATTTTAAATTAGTGCGAGTTCCACACGATTTTACGGGATCGTTAGAATCTTATATAGGATCCTGGTTTTACGATATGTATATATTATTTAAGTTTCATTTAATTGAAAATAATGTTAATAAGTCTATTCAAGTTTTCAAAAAATTAAATTTATCAAAAATCAATGTTATGGGCTTCGGTTTTTAATATAATGTCTAACAAATTATATGTGAAAATATGTACTTTAACCTGATATGATCATGATCCTAAAATCCGATTCTACAATTCGATACAGTTATGATAAAAACGATCCTACTCCTACCTACTATCCCTATTCTGACAGCCTTGTTCTTCAGAAGTTGATTGGCACAAGAGACAAAATCCAGGAGCTCTGCAATTCGAATCTCCTTGTTTCAGCAATTCAGCGTCGCATGGATATATATAAAAAAGAGATGTACATTTTCATGCTTTCATGTCGCAACTCGTCATTTTAGGACCCCTCGTAACAAAAAAAAAGTGCTAGTATTTGAAGGCGACAAGTTTTAAAGTGGAAAATATTCTATTTTCTCACTAAAATGTGGTCCTTGGTGTTCCATTTGATATATATAATGGATTGTGGTTGAAACTGAGTTTATGATAATTATTTAAGGCCAGTATTAGAAAATTAAGAAGTTGGTTTTAAAACATTTTCAAATAAATAATAAGAAGAATGCTTGCAAATAAATCGTATTGTTTAACAACTTATGAAGCGTGTCCAAGATAATGCATACTAATCGATAAGCCGAAAAGAACAGTACCCGAGGCTTAGCACTTAGAGAATTACATTTAGAAAAAAAAAATCATGTTGCTCGCGCTTACTCCTATCAAGCTATAAAACTTCATTCACAAAAGTGTGGTGTAAAGCCTCAACAAACCAACCATAGTCTTCATCTCCAACACTGCCATATTGTGGTTAAGAGATGTCAAATGCCAAGCATCTACTCGTAGAAACTTCATCCATCGTGGAACATGGAATTTTTTTAAAACGAATAGCACAAGACAAATATGCATGCATATTGTTTCTTTGAATAGAGCAATAAAAATTACAAGACTAAAACCTTGAAAGGCTAAGGGCCCCCTTTGAATCAAAGGATTTATATAGGAATTTCATAGGATATAACTCCTATAGGAAATTTTCATGTTTGGCCCTTTGATTTAAAGGATCGAAACTTTCTAAATCCTATGAAATTCCTATGGAATGGCACATTGCATGTGGATTTTGGAGGAAATGTAGCAAGAGCTCTAATGTAGACCCCCGATTTTTGGAAATCGGAAATCTTCTGTGTTTATCCGTACCAATCCCTGGATCAGTAGTTGGTACACACATACATAGTTGGATCACAACATATCACGAATGAATTCAAGCTAAAAGAGTTAAATACTTACATTAGGGCCAGGTAGGCCAACAACTATCAGAGAACAACAGCGGAAGACAAAAAAATAATATAAGGGCCCGGTTAACATGCCACAGGCAGTCGACTGGGGAACAAGACCTAGAACAAGACCGCACTCCGATCATCTTGTTGGTTACGCAAGCGTACCGACAAGGGCTTCTCTTCAACACTCTCCTAAAAGATATATAAATAGCAAGGGTGAGTACCAACAGTACTCAGCAAGCCACCACAACAACAATGCATATGATAGAGGGTATTTCAAGGAATGGCCTCAGGTTCTTTTGCATAAAGCTAGTTTTACAATTCTTTTCACAAGCTTAATACCTAGCATAGACTGATCAAGTTTTATTACCAGTGTTCACATTAAACAACGACGGTTCTATCCAGCATCCATTGTGATCCCAATGATAGCTTCCCGCCATTGAGTCGTCATGGTTTTCTGAGAACGTCCACCTTCCCTCCTCTTAGGAAGTGGCTCCATCAGCATAAAATCATCATGCAATAACCCATCCTACACAAGTTAAGAATTTAGAGTCTAGCCAAGTGTAATACACGTCCCGGTGCTCAATAACCGCGAGCACGGCTACTCGAATAGATTTGGTTTACTCACACTGCAGTGGATGTACACTTTACCCGCACTCCGCGACTTCCCAACACATGAGCCTCGTCCCAACACATGAGATGTGTCACGGCAAAACTTTTCGACAACCTCGCATTGGCAGTACCCGCTCCATGAACTTTACATCCTCATGCACTCTAGGCGTACACGGTTTCTAGCAGTGAGAGGAGTTCTGGCGCACCCGGGAAGGAAAGACTCACACATGCATTAAGTTATAATTATGTTTAAATTCTCACATGGCAGTCCTACTGATGGTGACACCACTGTAGACACCCGCCTCGCGGTTCTACCAATGGCTGCCCCACCGTAGAGCCCCTGCCTCACACATCAAGAAACCACTATGCATGGATACTGCCTCCGCTCAGCTATCTATTCTGCTAGGTCTATACCCATACGAGAAGTGCGGTTGTACGGGGGTCGTTTCAAGCTTAACTTCATGGCTCGGTCCTTAATTGACCGGGGACGGTGCTAGCATTTTCCAGATACCACCCAAATCCTCCGTCCGCCCCAGCCGAAAACAGTTGTTTAATTTTATTTCTCCTTCCACAAATCATGTCATCAACATCAGGGCAATGTGGCGCTCATGTCTCCACATGCCGCATCTCAATTACCTTCCCAAAGGTAATTGCCCAAGCATATAACATTTGATAAATATGAGTATGCATGATTCTAAAATAGCATTTCTAAGCAATTGTCATAATTGACTAGGGACTCATACGTAAACATGGTTACGAAGGAATAAGGGGGTAAACAATAATCAAGGCATGGCATAATCGCAAGTAGGATGTTTATCATTGCATGCAATTTTTATTTGTAAACAAAATAATTTTGCAATTGGTATCAACATGTTCAAGGAATAGTAATGACTTGTCTGCTCAGGATAGTCCTTATTCTTGATATAATTCTTGATCAACCTTCACTTCCTGGAGGCTGCAGACGTTGCCTCACGACTAACTGATACACAATTTCTATAATAAGCGAGAAAAACCAATATTCAAACAACAATCAAATGTGCACAACAAAATGTTATATTCGTGTTTGCTAATGGATTCCAATCATGCTAAGGGCTAAAGTTTCTTAATCTTTCTATTGTCATCATGGTCTATTTAGGAGTTAACCAACATAGCATTTATTGGATACATATATATATTTGGCTAATCGGTGGTTTAGTCTATCAAATAGCTATCGAAGGATTATGGCTATATATGCATATATCTAAATAGGACGGTTATATATTAGAGGTTCTGTTGTTAGATGGATTTAGGATCAATCAAATAATGAATCATTTGTATTATTATTTAGTTGATGGAGGCTTTACTTTAATTATGAACATATTTTACTTGTCACAATAAATTATAAAAGGTTAATAATTATCCATGCTTTGTATGTTAAAGTTGTTTAGGTTAATCATATTATAGTTACAGATTATCCCATCACATAATTTTACAATGAATAATCCTAATCTACAATTGAACTTGTGTTATATTAGGTCAAGGTTTATAATTAGTATTTATCCACCATACATGTTTGTCATATATCCTCTTTAATTTTAATATATGCAATCAAGCGATTTAATACTACAACGTATAGCTATAATGGACTGTACAGTATATGTGAGTGCACAATATCTTAATATTGAATAATTTATTTAAATAGCTGCTATTTACTTTAAGCTATATAGTACATGTGATTTTAAGTGGATTTATGAGTGAGTTACTGTCTAACAACTTAAGGGTCGATTTCCAACCTAAACATATACTACTGTATAGGGAATGTCGTTAATTAATTTCATATTGGTGATTTAATCATACAAGCTCTGCTATTATTTCTCATAAACAATTTAAAGACTCATCTACATGTGTTCAACTTTTACTCACAAAGTATGAGGCTATACAATTTGGACGTCATGAGTATAATTATATATTGACATATATTAATAAATGGCACTAGTATTTCCTATGCTTTAATTAATTTGAAACAATGCTCCTAACTAGTTTACATAGGTTTTATAGTGAGGAAGCGTGTTAAGGACAATTATTTGACATCTACTTTACGGTACAATATCAATTTTATTTATTAGCACATTTTTAAGTTAACTATTATGCATCATCTTGATATTAATTATTTAATATTTATAAATATATTTTATCAAATAGTGAATTATATACCATTGGAAAGCTTATGAATTTATATGAATTTAGGTTCAAGTTTCACTCAAATCCAAGTTAAAATGAGAGAGTTATGCTAGTTTAAATATTCAAATTTGAATAATTGCGAAACAGTACTGTTCCTAACTCATTTATTTTTATTCCATAATTTACATTGACTAACCTGTGGGACCGGCCTGCCATGGACACAACATATATAAGTGAATTTTCATAGATTTTAATCATAGGGACCCCACATGTAAGGGACTTAACTAATAAAGATCAAGGGGAGGATTACTATTTACTAATCACGTGGGGCCCACTCTAACCTCTCTCCTCCATTCTCTTTTCTCTCTCTCTCTCTTCTCTGTTTTCTCTCTTCTCTCCCTCTCTCACGGCGCGGCGCGGCTACCAGCGACGAAGGGAGGAGGGAGGGCTTACCGGACCGGCGGCGACGGCGGTGGAGACACGGCGGCGAGGTGCGGCGCGGCGGCGGCGAGGCGCCGGGGCACGGCGGCGGCGAGGCGCCGGGGCACGGCAGCGGCGTCCTGGGGCTCGGGGCACGGCAGCAGCGGCGCGGCGGCGGAATGCGGCGTCGGTGGAGGGGAAGAAAAGGGGAAAAAAAAGAAGAAGAAGAGGGGAAATGGCATGGGGAGGGAAGGGAAAGGGAAGTGGTATTTATAGGGCACGGGGTAGGGGCGGCCGGCTTTAAACGGTGACGGGATGGCGCGGCGTCGTGGGGCTCGGGGCGATGGCAACGCGCGGCGACGGGACGGCGGGCACGACGGCGACAGTGCGCGGCGCGGGCGGGGCTCGAGGCGCTAATGGCGACGGTAGTGACGCGATGGCGCGGCAGCGGCACGGGGCTCGGCGCGGCGCTGGGCTCGGCGCGGCACAGCCGACGGCGACACAAGCGGCGCGGAGATAGGCGACGGCGACGGGCGACAGCGACGCGCGCGGCGCGGCAGGGGCGCGGGGCGCGAGGCGGCGCGGCACGGGGCGCGACGCGGGGCGACGGCGACAGCACGCGCGGAGGGAAGGGGCGCGCGGCGGCTCGGGGCGCGAGGCCGACGGCGACAAGCGAGCGGCGCGGCAGCGACGGGGCGCGGGGCTCGAGGGTGCGGCAACGTGACGATGACGGCGCGCGGCGCGCGGTGACGGCGATAGCGATGGCGCGCGGGGCGCAAGGCAGCGGCGCAGCAGGGCTAGGTGCGGCAGTGGGGAGGAAGAGGGCTAGGGTGGCTAGGAACTCCATCAAACACCTCATGTGCAATGAATAGTGCTATCCCTAATTAAACCCCATTTTAGCCTATCTCCTATACAATTTTAATCCTATAAACTCTAATTTTACTTAGTTAAATGTTAACTAAATTTAAGTACTAAATCCTCATGAAAATTTATCCAAAATTATTACCACCCATATTTATTTATTTATCGCATAAATGAATTCTTTTTAGATTAATTTGGGTTATTGACCCTAAGGTGAACTTATATATTTTTGAAAACTTTGAGGTAATATTGAATTTAATATAACGACTTGTCATGATTAATACATTAGCAGATTGGTCGAGTTTAGTTGTATAGCAATATATTTTACACGGATGGGTTCAATCTATTTATTCTCTAAATAGTAAATTGAGACTCGGCACAATATTAATCTAATTGTTTAATTAAAAACTCACATAATTTTATAAAGCTTAATTTAATTATATGACCATTATTTTATATGAGTGACTTTATCAAGTGTTCAAATATTAATGTATATATATTCCCATGAAATTCTCATTTGTTAATAGGATCATTATAGTGGTAATCATCATTTCATGTGAATTTATAATACTTCATGTGAGATTGGATCCACATACATTAGATTTAATCTTACAATCTCATTAGTTAAACCTGACATCGAGCTATCAACATGGTTCGAATATTTAATATTTGATCTATGATTTATAATAGAAATTAATATTTTATTTGGCTTGCTTTCTTGTGCACTAATGTATTCTTGTATCATATATTTATTGTTCAGGTGTACGCCATTAATTTGATTCTCCATTGTTACAATTTATATTTGGCAAGCAATGACAACCATAACACCCAGCATGATGCAAAAGTTTTAAAAAGTTCGAAATTTTAGTGATTTTTATTATTAGGAATTTTCAAGATGTTACATCTAACCTCTTGGGAAATTTCCTTTGAGTCTATCTCTCTGATCCGATTCCTGCGTTTTTCCTGCGCTCCAATCAAACGACTATTCCTGTGTTTTTCCTGTGTTTTGCAATCCTTTGTTTTATACTTCAATTCCTATTAGAATCCTGTGTTTTTCCTATTCCTCTATTTTTTCAACCCTGTGATTCAAAGGGGCCCTAAAGTCAGGAAAAAGAACCACTACACACCAACATCACCTAAACAAACAACCGACGAAGGAACTAGGACCGGACCGACCGTCGCTATACGCTATACGAACAAAGGAGTTACAATTATATTGCCTAACACCGACTCCGAACAGTTGAACACTTGACCTCACATATGTCACCTGATTAACGATTTCATTCATTTTCACTACCCAAGCCACCGTCTCACCTCATTAGCAATGCTACACAGTGCCAGATACCGCTCCTAAACCTAGAGGCTTAACCTCACCGGGACACTAAGATTGCCCTCGAAGTCTCGAACTGCTAGGGTAAATCGTTCATCAATCATCTTGTCTGTGTATCCATAATATCCATAAAAGGGCCAATTCAACAAGAGAAGAACCGATGAAATTATAAGCACAAATGGATAAGGCACTGGTTACTAACCCATATGTTGCAGTTGCACAGACTACTGTTATTGATTTTATAAATATTGAAATTTTCCAGTAAACTAATTTTCTAGTAAATTATAGCGCATAAATTAAAATAAGAATATACTTTACTTCAATTACAGCTTTCTAGTAAACTAATTTCGAATTTGGAATACACTAATAAAATGCTAAATTCCAAGTCCAACCCGGTATAATTAATTTTAAAATTGTTATGTTTTGGAAAAGACTAATCTAAACGGTCCATGCTATCTTGGCGAGAATACACTTCCTCCATCCCAAAATATAAGCAATATTAGCATAGTGTCAAGTGATACTTTTTTACTTTAACTATTTATAGAAAAAAAAGATCAATCATATAAAATTGATGTTATTAGATTTATCTTAAACAAACTATTATAATATGAAAACTCTTTTTATTTAAAATATCTTATTTTTATATATATTATTGATCAAAATAGCATATCGAAGACTGTATCGAAGTTAAAAATACTTATATTTTAAGACGGAGAGAGTAGAGCAGACGTCCTCATCATAGTCTGTGACCCTTACTACCTTACTACGCATCCAACACATGCCTACGGTAACGGATGTTCAAATGCAGGATCGTGGAGGGAACTTGAGGGGTTTTTTATGAGCAAAGACCCGGACGCGCCGACGCTGCGGGGCCCGTCGGGCTCACGTGACGAACTGTGAGAGTGAAATTTGTTTAAGATACAAGAAAGAAAAAACTAGGAAGAATAGAGTCACAGGCTCACAGCGGGATGGATTCGGTGCGTCTTAGCTGCATTATTCGATCCGTCGTCTTCTGCCTTATCCGCGCCGGCCCGAGTCTGACTTGCCCACGATCCGTCCAAAAACCCCCCAAACCGAAAACAAGCTGCCTCGGAACGAAATTCCCGGGCACTCCGGCTGCTTAAACTGAACCCCGACGCACGGCTACAGAAATCTCCTGTCATCAACCGGTGAGCGACACAGGTTTTCTGGTGGCGTAGTGGTTATCTCTCAGACAGCGCAATCCCCGTCCTCGTGAAGGCACTCATCACGCTTGCCCTGCCTGTTTCGTAGACAGCTCGAGAAGCAAAGATACGCAGTCAGTTGGGAACAGAACATCAGCGAAAACGGAGCAGGAAAGTTAGCCCGTACGATCAGCCGGAACTGAAAGGAGGAGGAGCAAAGAATCCAAGCTGGGGAGTGGGGAGGGGAGGGGAGACGAAGGCGCGGAACAAAACGAAAACAATTGCGTGGTTGCTTAAGACAAGACACGGGTTTAGTGTGGGAGTGGAAGTGGGAGCCACGCGTGCGTGCGTGGAGCGCGGCTGCGCGCGCAGGCCGGGCAAGGCAGCGAGGCAGCCGGCAGCAGAGGAGGCGGCAGTAGAAGAAAAGGCGCGTCGCGGTCACCACGGCCGGTCACCACCACATATCTTCTCGGTGCCCCACCACCACCACCACCATCGCCATTACCGCTCTGGTTAGGTCGGAAAATGCAGCTGGGTCCAAACGAGTGAGTCACCACCACCACCCTGCACTTCCACAAAAACAACGGTGCAAACAAAAAAAATCTCGCCCCGCGCGCCCGTCAAAACTCCCATGCCATCATCTTCGTCTAGCACGGTACTAGCAGTAGCGCTTGATCACGAGAAGCCAGTGTCTCAGGTTCTGAGCGAGCACTGCTACCGCTGCAGCTGCTGCACCAAAGCTTGTGCGTAAACAAACACTACTGGGAACGCACGCGAGGCCATGTACCTGAGCAAAGGCAAGGAGAGCCCCAAGAGGTGTAGAGGTGTACAGTAGATGTTCCATTTTTCAAACAGTTCTGTTCCAGGTACAGAGAGCCCACCACCAAGGCAGAGTGGGAGGACACACTTGCATCAGCAAGACTAGACTTGGATTAACTTGCAAAGGACCCTACCTCCCAGTTTCATTCCTGCCTCATCTCAATCACAGGAGTACTACAAACTTCTGCAAACATGCAACATCTCCATCTATATCTGATGCCGATTGCTTCTACCCCTCGCTATCTCAACCCTCATCCTCCTAACTAAGGGGCTGTTTGGTTTTCAGGGACTTATTCACCTCAGATATTTAAACACTAATTTAAAATATTAAACATCCACTAATTACAAAACCCATTTCATAAGTTTAGACTAATTCGCGAGACAAATCTTTTAAGTCTAATTACAACATGACTTTGACAATATGATGCTATAGTAAACTTTTAATAATTATGGATTAATTAGGCTTAAAAAATTCGCCTCACAGATAAGCTCTCATTTATGAAATTAATTTTTAAATTAGTCTATGTTTAATACTCTAAATTAACGTCAAACATCCGATGTGACATAGACTAACAAGTTTTAGCCCCATCTAATCACCCCCTAAGCATATCATGCTGTTACAGTTGACACCATCACGCGATGTAACCAAGGGTGCACGCAACACACACCAACCTGTCATCGCTCACACTGCTGCTGTGCTGTGCTGCACTCTTCTCTCCTGGCCTTGGGGAATAAAACAAGGCGATCGGTTTGCTTTCGTCTTCCTCCCCTTCTCGCCATGCAAAGGGCGCTTTGGTTCTTGGTTTCTTCTTCCTTTTGCCTCAGAAATAATCACACCGGCATTGATGAACCAAGCATATGCAGGTACTACCTCAGAGAAAAAAAAAACTCCTTCGGGTAAGCTAGAATGGAAATGAAGTTCTGCGCTAGCGCTGCCGCGGCTGCACTGCTGCTACAGCAGCAGTGCCCTAACAAACTATAGTAAAAGCTTTTGAGCTGGAGCACCGGAAAGCTGAATTCCTAGACCTAACATGACCTAAAGGCACCTAACTCTAATTAATCCAACCGGAACTAAGATAATACTGGAAAAGAAAGGGGAAAAAAATCCAGGTACGGTACAGGACTAATACGGCTGGAAAAATGTACAGCCACCGCGGGGGCGCGCGGGGTGGCTAGCTTGCTTTAGCTAGAACGACGCCACGGCGGGCGCTGCGGCGGCGGCGGCGGTGAGGAGTCCGGAGCCGACCTCCTTCTTGCGCCTCATCTCGAGCACCTTGCGGTGGGAGTTGGAGTGGATGGCGCTCACGAAGGTGGGGCTGCACGCCGGGCGGTACTCGGGGAGGAGCCGGCCGGACTTGTAGCGGACGCCGCACGCGTTGCAGAGCGTCTTGGCGCCCTCCGGCCCCGCGCGCCACTGCGGGGTCTTCTGCACGCCGCAGTGGCTACAGCGCCGGTCGCCCGGCGCGGGGGCCGACGCCGCCGCGCCCGAGGGATGTGGTGGGAGCTGCTTCGGCTTGCGGCCACGCTTCTTAGGCTTGTTCTTGCCGTTCTTACCGTGCTTGGACTTCTTCCCCGGCGGCAGAAGGTGATCGTCCGGGAGGTCCGACGTGCCGCCGAGCGGGTGCCACTCAAACTTGAGGAGCGGCGAGAACGACGAGAACGAAGCCGACGAGGAGCACGAGGAGGTGGTGGTTGTGGACGAGGATGACGTGGAGTCCGAGAAAGGCGGTGCCCCCGAGAGAGACCACGCCGTGGCCCGAGAGCGCTTGCTGCGTTTCGCCTTCACCGGCACCAGCGCCTCCGTTGACAGCGCGCAGATGGTCGGAGTCCGCACCGGATAGGACGCGGGTGGCAGCGCGCGGTAAGCTCCGTCCTGAGGCCGCCGCTGCAGCTGCCGAGGCTGCGGCGGCCGCGCGGCCAGCGACGCCACGACGGACGCAGGAGGCTGCGGCGGCGGGGGCAACTCGGAAAGGGAGTCGTCCATGATACGCGACACCCACTCTAGCTCCTCGACGTCATGCGCCTGCAGAGAAACCATACAGCACAGCAAGAAATTAATTACAGGGGGAAAAAAAAGACAACCATCGCGAAAGCCGCAGCCTTTCCGCCGAAAGGCACGGTCAACGAGAGTCTCGAGAAACCTCACCGGCAGGTCAACAATCTCCGGAGGCGGCGGCGGGGGCGCCACAAGCTCGTACGTTACGACGGACGACGGCTGGGAGTCGTCCTTCGACTTTTCCTCCTCTGGCGCGGCGACGAGGGCCAGCGCCTGCTCGTTCTCCTCGGCGGCGTCCTTTTCCGCCTCGCAGAACTCCTCGAGGTCGAGCAGGTCCTCGACGGAGAACCCGTCCCTCTCAACCATCCCCCACGCCGACGGCGCCGCGGCCGCCCCCTCGTCGGCCGCCTCCTCCGACCGGCAACTACTTTTCAGCGCGTCCATCTTCCCATCCTTCTCCGTCCAAAAGGCACCCACATACACACACAGCAAAAACCATAAATTCCCAAAATTCCAGAAACCAAGCAAACACAGGCTCAAGAAACGCCCGTTCTCCTCCTCGTCATCCCCCTTCCCATAAAAAATCCCATCAAAGAATTATAAAAGAGTCGTTTTCTTATCGTCTCCTGAGGCTAACGCTCCCTTCCTTACCAGAGAACTGTGGTGGTGCGCGTAGGACGGCATGGCTGAGGAGGAGCGGGAGGTGTTGGAACCCTGGGCGGCGGTGGCGGCGGCTTTTGAGGCGAAGAGGAGAGGAGGCGAGAGGGGGGGCGGAGGAGGGGAAGGAAAGGGTGGAAGAAGGGATGAGCGTTTGGTGGAGCATTGAATGGCTGCCAAAGTCCGTGCCCACAACAAATGCGCCAGTTTCCCCTCGACCCTCACCTTTCTCCCATTTTACTCCTCCCCAATTCCTTTTCCCTCCCTTCCAAATCTTTCCTCTTTTCTTCTTTTCTTTTTCTGCCCTTGGTGCTTACTGCTTTCTATCTTTGATTTTTTAAGTTGTTTTTTAGCCTTTTTTAAATCCTATCTTGCCACTTCGTAATCTCATCTGTCTGATATCACTCTCCCTTTTTGTATACGCCCTCTTTTCGAAGAAGCCAAAAGAGAGGGGTGAAATGTGAAATGGGGCAGTGGTGGTAACCGTAGCCACCCCCAGACAGCCAGACTTTGGGCGCCGCGCGCGGGAGCGTTTGCGTGTTTCCGGTCTACCCCGCCCCGCCTCGCCGGGCCGCCTCGCGATTAGTGTGCGTGACGGGGGTGGGCTGGGCCGGACGATTGAACGGATGGGGTTTGGGTAAAAGTAAGCGAGGGATTAGTGGCCGGGGGGGACACTTGGTGGGGCCAGGAGGCACTGATGCCTCTCTTCTTTTGGAGGTAAATCATAAATGGCGTCTTTTTTGAAATGTGAGTGCGGATTGTGGAAAGGTTCAAATTGGATTTTGCTCGGGATGGGTGGGTTTGCTTCCAGTTCAATCTTTGCCAGGGCTCTGTTGCTGTATTCAATTATTCATGTGCTGAGGATTTGGTATTAATCAATGTATATATACGTCCATCCTTCTAAAAATACCTATATGCATTTACAGATTGGCTTGGAAAAACCATTCAAACATTAATCGGCTGCTTTAATAGTAGTATTCTGCGAACACAGCAAATTGTCTCCATAAAAATAGGGGTGAAAACGAAATGGATTATGTATGGTGATCATACCATATCCTAAACATATTTGTTAAACGGATTCGAGGCAGATATGGATAGTGAGCGGATATGGATTGTTTCGGCTGTCGAAAATAGTGCAGGATCGGCGCAGACATGGATCAGAAATAGATTAAATTTATCGGATGTTATATGTGTATGCAAGTAATAAACGATTGAGTTAGCAATGCAAAGTCAACGATGCAATAATCAATAAACGACCCATCATAATAATAATTGTGTAATTAAGTGCTAACAACATGAATACATGATATGTGTAATATAGAAATACATCTAAATAAGTGTGAGATAGACGGTGAAAGTATCTGACTAAGAAATCTTAGTATTATTCAACAAACGGCCTATCGGATAATTCAATAGAAATATCGGATAATATGCATCCGCTAAATTTCTAGAACACATACCATATACTCGTTTCAGAGCGGATCGGATCGGATAATATCCAATCCATTTCACCCTACATAGAAATATAGGATTTGCATTTTTCTAACTAACAAGTACACAATGTGCATGTTGGGAAGGAAGTTTTGAGCCAACAGTTAAAAGCCAAAAACACATGATCTGCGTAAAGAAAAAACTGCTATATAACGCCATAAATGTTTTTGGTTGTATGATATTGCAAAATTAAACATATTTTTGAAAACATGATAATTTCATGGTAGACATCGCTCACGTTAATTTAATTAATGTTTTCAAGTAGAGGACGAGAGAAGGGGCACATGCGCACATGAAAAAAGAATGTAAATGTCCTTTGTGTTTTCCACTTAGACCAACTCGGACATCGACCCACCGTACACTGTCACCGATGCCAAGCCAATTGACTATCCGTGGCCAAGAGTTCACCTTGAGCATTGCTTCCATGCTATCGGCGTCGCCATCATCCTCGTCGCTTATATAGGACCCGTGTTTTAACCCTCGTCGCCTATAAATGTTGGCCTCGCCATCGACCCATCGCCACCTTAAAACACTCTAGATCATTGGTCAGGCACTTTGCATGCGTCATTCCGTCACGCCACCACCAACACATTGACTAGCTGAATTCATATCGTTCCTCGATGATCCTGCTCACCTCAAGCTGTCCTCGTCGTTTTACTAGTTGACGCTTAGCCACCCAAGACATCTCTCGTATGGCTCCTCTGCCTTGTCATCCCCTTCTGCCTCCTCTCTAGTTGCTAAGGGAAACTTAACCTAAGCTCATCCTCCAATGCTCCAACTGGAAATCAAAAACCCCTCGTTAAGGCTGAACTTCCGAAGCCATTTTTCATTCCCATAACCCACCGTAACTCCAGTGCAATATTTCTATACACTGATACACACATTTGCCTCCTCTCCCCATTATCTACCCAAAAATATTAAATTTATAGGGGTGTTGCCTAATAGTATTTTCTTTACGTTCTTAGAGTGTTTCCATATGTGTGGTGTCATACTGCTTAAATCGTAAAGTGATTATATTTTATAGTAAAATTTTATTGAAAAGTAGTTATAATGTAAGACTTTTGTACTAACGGTTAAAATACTAATGCTAAGTAAACAATAATAATAAAATTACTGTATAATTTAAAATTGGAGATCGACTTCGAAGTCGTAATTCAAACAAGCATGCCCACAAAAGGATGTTTGTATTCTTCGCATAAAAGGGTTGTTTGTATAACATATCAAATATTATTTCGGCGATTTTCCAAATCCATTTGTTGTGACGAAACTGACGGCATATTTTCCTCTTTGTGTAAACCAAACAAAAAGTTACATTCAGATGAAGCATCCCGGCCTTACAGGCAGCCCGAGTATTGGGTTTTAATTTCATCCATCGTTTTAGGGAACATCGAAAGCGACCGAACCATGTTGCCGAACAGTCTGCTAAAGTCTCTCTCCGTCAAAAAAAAAAAAAAAAAACGAACTCTAGTTTTCTGTGTCTAACTTTGATTGTCCGTCTTATATAATTTTTTTTATAATTCATATTTTTATTATTGTTAGATGATAAAACAAGATTAATACTTTGTGGGTGACTTGTCTTTTTATTTTTTTTCATAATTTTTTTAAATAAGACGGACGGTCAAATGTTGGACACGGAAACCAGGGTTTGTCTTTTTTGGGACAGAGAGAGTAGGTCTGATACTTTTCTTCAATAAAAGTTGGATGAAGATTAAGATTTTAATTGGATGCTTTTTAAACTGCTAAACGGTTCGTTTTGTGTTAAATATTTCTATATGAAAGTTATTGTAAAATTCAAATTAATATATTTTTCAAGTTTATAATAATTAAAACTCAATTAATCACAAGTTATTATCATCTTGTTTTACGTGAAATACTTAATCTTTTATTTTTAGAAGATTCAAATACCACGTTAGCGTAAATGAGAATAGTATTGAGTAGAAATTCGCAGCCATTATTAGAGAGATTAGCACAGTTCAAATGTTTCCCTCCTTCGCCGGCCCGGCTTCCACGCGTTGCCGCGGCGGCACTCGCGTCGCGTGGCTTCTTCGTCGGACGCCCGTATGCTGGAGCGGGTCGCGGGAATCGCCAAAATTGACTAATCGTTTCCATTGTCACACGAAGTTACCGGAATACCCTTCCTGACGAAAGGAAAAAAAAATACATCCGAGCGGCGGGTACACCGCATCGGCTCTCGGGTCGCCCAACCGGGCCACCGTTCGCGCGCGGTGCCACGAGCCGAGCGGGGCAGTTTAGACAATTTGGGCGCGACGACGATGCCTTCTCTCGCGGCGCGGGCAAAGTTAAAAAAGCCGACGTGGGTGGCCCGGACCCAGCACGTCGCCTCAACACGCAACGCATCTGAGCAGCAGCGGCCCGCGTGTCAGCCGAACGGGCGCGGTCCGCGAGGCGTACCTGCCGCCGAGTCGTCATCCGACCTGGCGGCCGGCTGGACGCGTCACGGATAATACGTGGCGTGACTGGATTGGTTGGGTACGGACACGCGCTGCGCGGCGGTGGCGGCAGGTGGGCTCGGGCTGCGAGAGGTGGACCGGGTCTTGGGCCGGCTCACCGCCCGACGTAAAGCAGTTTTAAAGGCGCAGAGAGGACGGCCGCGCGGCGGTGTGGGTTTGGGCTGGAGCTGGCCCTATGGACCGTGGACCACGGAGTAGTAGGAGTAATAATAATAGTCGTCTCTCAGCTCAGAGTTGCCCTCGTCGCGAGGTAAATCAGCAGCGCACGGCCGTGGAATAAAAACGATGGCGTGAATAGTGAAGAGGCAGGGTCGTACGTACGCGCAGTACGTGTACATCTACTACTGCGGCCGTAAGTATGGCTGTCGGTTCATACTTTCCTTGTACGTCAAAACAGATGCCTCTCACGAGGTTTTTGGGCTACTTAATACAGTACCTGGCTCCATGTTCGTTCTACTCGCGAATTTTCCGTAGCTATCCCCGCGCGTTAAACTTCTGTGTGCAAGATTGCAAGTATTCCATTATGTTCTTCAACGCTGACACGATGCTAACTGTTAACCGAATGACCACGATTTGGCAACAAAACAGTGCGTTCCAGAAATTAAATTCGTCGTCAGTTTCAGAAGGCGTAGACAAAAATACAGGATCAATCTTCAGGAGGGTAATCTGATGCCGAGTTTTCTGTCCTTCCGTGGACAGGAAAATTCTCGATGACAAACTCGACAAAAAAAATCAGCATAGGGGCACGATGAAACTGACCAGACAACCATGCAGATAAATATTCGAGATCGTCAATACAATCCCGGCAGCAGAGTAAACTGGCCAACCGGAACGATAGCCAAAACATCATGGATGACAAATGTTGTGAAGATGAAAGCTCAAACTCATCGGGATGTCAGATTCGACGGGCCAAACTAAGATAAGAGACGATGCATCTAGACGGCTCCCACCACGTGATTGACGGTGGATATCCATAGATTTGCTTAAAAACTTTAAAGGCGTCGAGGGCCTACGCATCTGCGTCCGCATGCATGGGCTCCGAGTTGACGTGTTCGGTGTTCCCTTCACCGCGTATGGGGTATGGCCGTATGGGGAACTCACAGGAATGGCGCGGCGGGTCGGAGGCGGCGCCCCACGCGGGCCACCGCCGCGCCGAGAGCACGCGACGTCGCGCCGCGCGAGGCCGTTCGGTTTGGGCCTTTGCGGTGGGCTGCGGTGCGTGGGCACAATCGAGTAGTGTTCGTGGCTGTCAAAGA